CCCTCCAAATGTAAAAGAAAAACAAAATCGCGACATATGCAAAGCTCAGCAGTGATAAGCGCACGCCCATTGCCATTCACAAGCTCCCTCTCTCTCTCTCTCACTTTCTCTCTGTGTTTCGCTCTCCCTTTGTCGCGATATGTGCAACATCTAGCAGGTAATAAATCTAACTGTAAACGCAGCGCTTACGACATTGCATGCCAGGCTTGAAAGTTGTCGTCATTGCAGCACCCTGCCCGCCATTACCAGGCGTAACAGCGACGGCTCCCGCCTTCAGGGCCTCTCCCACGACCCACACACCCCCACCCCACCCTCGATGGCCCTTTTGCCTCTGGCGTAAACGCAACATTTTCGCTGTCGTTTGCCAAAAATGGCTGTAGCCAAAGGCGAGGCATGATGCGGGTCGTCGTTGTCTTCGTCTCAGGAGTCGGCGGGCAGGAGTCGGCGGAGCATAGCCCTTTGATGGTACTGTGGATGTTGGGGTTTAGTTACATTCTTCTTCTACCAATTCTTCTTATTCGCCTTGACGCCTTATGTGCAATTTGTCTGCAATTTTTATAGTGCGCCTCAGTCCAGCTGCTCTATCTATCGTATGCTGCTCCTTCTCCTGCTGCTCCTCCCCCCTTGCTACTTTTCTCATATTCAATTTGTTCGATTTGATTTTGGTGCTGCTGCTGCCTCTTGCGCTCTATCAAGTGCATTTTATTTTAGTCGAAACGCGTATGCACAAATTTTCCACTACAACAAGGCGCCTGTAAAGTTTTATGCGTTTGCCACGCCCCGCCGCCGCCCATCGAGCCGTCAGCCGGATATGGATATTGTCGTCGATTGTGAGCGGGCCAAGCCAGCGCTGGGTCGGGTCGGGAGCTGTGTAAAATTTTATGTTTATTGATTGGCAGGCACTGTGAGCAACCAGCGAGGCGACACTTTGACTTTTACATAATGCAACTGAGAGGCAACTGCAATTGCAGCTGCAACGTGGCAAGAATGTTTGCCAAGCATTCAAATGTGGCGCAACTTTAATGAAAAGTTTGCTCTATGCGTACAACAAACCGAAAATAATTACCAAAGTTGTACAACATAATGAAATTTCGAAATCTGTTGTGAGGCAATTGGGTAGCTCTAATATATTTGAAATCAAATTTGAATATCTTTTGAAATGCAAGTCTCTGTCATCAATTTCTGTCATTAGAAATTTGGTTAAATCTTTCTCATATCTTTTGGTAAATTTTATACTTTTAAAGTAACTCGCTAAATTTTAAAAATATATAAATAATAACGAAATAAGTTTATCTCTGCAGAAAAAAAAAATATATATTTTATAGTTTTTATAGGAGCAAATATTATTAAATATTTTTTGTATATATGTATATAGTTTTATTAATACATATCAAACATTTGTATTTGTATATAAATTATTTTATATGTGAATTATTCCACTCTAATTTGTATCACGTTCATATTGTGAATTATTCAGTTTTCACATTCGTAATCAATCACAGGAGCTGCTGCTGTTACGGCTCGAACACCTCGGGGATATTATGTGCTTAACACAAATATCGAGATTTGTGCCGCTTATTATTTATGATGATTGTACATTATGATGAGCCACATTAGCAGCACATTACACCAGATACCAGAAACTTTGGCAAGTGCTGCGCGCCGAGCTGGACAGCAGGAGAAGCAGGGGCAGCGGTTTTTCGCTTCGGGCAACGAAATTGCATGCTAGAAAGTCATATTTTCATTGGCAAAAGGACAGAGGGACAGAGGACAGAGAGAGAGTGAGCGAAAGAGAGAGAGGGAGGGGGTGTGTGGCTGACGTATGCTTTGCCAAAGGATATACATGTACATACACATATATATTTCATGACTTGAGCCAAAGTATCTGTATCTAACAAGTGTCGACGGCAGGACAGAGCCCTTAAGCCCGGCTGAAGTCGTTATGATTTGTCATAAACATAAAATAAATGGCCAAATATTTATAGTATGCTGTGTCATGAGAAGCTCTAGCAGACACCCACACACACACACACACACACACACATGCAGACACACCCACTCAGACACACATTTAGCCAATAAAAATATTGGCCCAAGGGTAGGAAACAACTTGAAGTGTCCTTCGATGCGTTAAGTAGCTCGCAGATGTCAAGGATTTTTATCCTTGCCCCAACTCTCTCACTACTCACCCAGATGCTGCTGCTGCTGGTGTTGCTGATGCTGCTGCTGCTGATGCTGCTGCTGCTGGTGATGATCTCTGCCCCGGCTTGTGCCCGGCGAGTGATGATCCTGTGAGTTCCACAAGCTAGACGTGGCGCCCATGTACACATTGTTCAGTGTCGATGGCGCCTGATCCAAGGATTTGCCCTTGTTGCGCTGCGACTTGCTGTTGCTGTTCTGTGGATTGTTGTTGTAGTTGTAGGGATTATTGCTGTTCGAATTGCTGTTGCTGCTGTAGCGTTGCTCTGCGAATTGAATGGCGTTAGTTGGTGCTGGGCTCATAGTTGGATTGTAGTAAGACGATAAATATCGCGAAAGTGGATATAAGTTGTGAAATAATTCGAAATTTATTTAGATACCAAATTAGTGCACAAAAAATTATAAATTAGATAATAAATAAATAAAATCAAATTAAATAAGAATTACTAACTTATTCCTTCTTTCATCGAATTACTTTTCAGAATTTTATAAAAATTAAAGGAAACTAATTTATATTTATTTATTTATATAAATTATATTTATTTATATATTCTGGCACTATATTCTTTAATTTTCATATTTATGCTATATTATATTTAAAATATAATATTTTATTAAATTATTACTTTTGATTTATATTTCTACAACGATTTTCATTATATCATTTTTCATTTTATTTCAGATAAAATTCAAATTTATTTATTCATATTTATTTATTTATATAAATTATATTTATTTATATATTCTAGCATTATATTCTTTAATTTTCATATTTATGCTATTTTTTATTTAAAATATTATATTTTATTAAATTATTACTTTTGATTTATATTTCTACAACGATTTTCATTAAATCATTTTTCATTTTATTTCAGATAAAATTTAAAATAAATTTATATGTTAGATTGAACTTGGGCAGGTAAGAAAATAAAAACAACAAGTTATTATTCTTTGTATATTACATTGGCCAAGATAGAGGTATTTATACAAATTTAATATATATAAAAATTTTTAATAATTTATCTAGCAATCTTTAAGACACTTTCGATATTTATCGATTACCATAATCGGTTTCATGATGCTTACCCTTGTTGTACTTGACGTTATAGACGGGCACGGTGTTGATCGATACAGTGGGCGCCATCGTTGTAATTGTTGTTGTTTGCGGAATATCTAAAGAAATAGAGCAAACGAATTTTAATAGAATTGACACGGAACACAGGGTGCTGGCATCTCAATCGAATGTCCGAGAATATTTGAGCATCGTGTGCTCAATTCCTTGGCCAACAAATAACCGATTTACCCTACTCAGCTGGCAAATTATAAGGCATAAATGATGAATCTGTAGCACGTCCATTATCATCATCGCATCAAACATATTTATTTATTCAGCCGTGGAGCTAACTTCATCGAGAGCACCGGCTCATAAATCAATCACTGCCAATGCTGGGCCACGCCCAAGTTCAGCCACTTGACCTGGGTCAAAGGTAACTAAACTTTATTCAACCATTTATTATGAACATTATTATTATGTTTGCTTGCTTTTTTTTCGTATTGACCCGAAATTAATTAAATGCCAGGGGCGAGTACAAATAGTTGCAGGCGAATCGCCCTTGGCTGCTCTGTGACTTATGTGAGACACTGTTTAAGCCGTTACATTAACATTTACGTTTATAGTTATGGCAATGGATGTAAATGTTATTACTGTTTATAGTTGTTGTAGTTGTTGTTGTAGTTGTGGTTGTTATTGTGTGAAATACTTACGGTACAATTTGATCGCACCATCTGTGTCGCCCAGCGAATTCTTGGCCACACAGCGATAGGCACCAAAGTCGGCAATGTCAACGTCGTAGATGGTCAGACGCATTGTTATTTTATAGCCCGACTCGAAGGTTTCTGGCACAAAGCGTTCACCTGCCATAGAGAGAGAGAGAGAGAGAGAGATAGAGATAGAGAGATGAAGATACAGAATGAGTGATAAATACGTTTAGTAATTGCTTCATGTACATCGTGATGAGTGGGTATGCGTATGTGTGTGTTTGTTTGTCTGTGTTTCTGTGGGCGGCGTAACAAGCTCATATATAACCACAATGAAATTTAACCCATTTGGCCAGAGCAGCAGTCAGTCAGTCAGCAGAGCCCGTTAAAGTGACATACTAACGTACGTATGTGTGTGTGTGTCTTGTCCTTTGTCTGGACTTGTCCTGGCCAAAGTAATTTGGCTTAAAAGAAGCCAAAATAGAATCGAGGCAAACCCCAATTTTAGCTCAACTTGTTGTCATCTTGGATAACCAGCTCTTTGCGGGGGGTTCGCCACCCTCCAAATCGTTCATTTTAATTTATACAAAAACCAAGCTGGCATTCGAAACGTTTCCTTCTACTACTCCTGCGCCTCCTGCCCCCATGGCGCTAGTTGCTTTGCTAGGTTTTGATTTACGTTTGATGTCGGTTAGATTTCGCTTAGTCGGAACTAAGCCTGCCCTCTCCACCTGGTCTAGCGAGTGGGGCCACCGACTAACTAACTGTGAAGTCGACCACAGGCAATTGTTATGCATGGCAGCTAAGCAACTGATTAGTTTACTAAAATGCTTTCAAATGGCTTGAAACTGAGACTCGAGATTTGAATCCACGTTGTTGTTGTTGATCAAACCCAAATTGCTTTGGGTCTCTAGCCTGAAAAGCATTTAAATGCTAAAGATTGACCAAATGTGATTTCAGCCGAGATTAGAGGAAAAATGAATTTCGATTTAGTTTTTAAAGGTGACTGACTTTATTTTCTTGCCAAGCAAAAAAATCTTGCTAAACTGAATTTCACATTAAATAAATTTTTTATTGACCATCAATTGTATTTACGGTTTTTTTTTTTTTTAATAAATAAAAAAATAAAAAATATATAATTAAAAATATAAAAAATATAAATAAAATATAAAATAAACATATGTATAATTATAATATTTTTTTTAAATGTCTTATTTATTTTATTTAACTAAAGAATTAATTTTTCATCTAGAGATTTTATAATTATTTTTTAAAATAAATAAAATTTGGTTTCTTCACTTTTAAAGACAATTTTTAACAAATTCTGCTGCAATTTAAAATTTTTATTTATTTATTTTTTTTTATTATTATTTTTAATGCTTTGATTAAATATTGATTACATATTAAATATTTCAGTCTAATAAAAGCTTTCCAGTCCAATAAAAAGATCAGTGGAAATGACGTCCAATGATCTGGCTGAGTTAATTTTTCAAGTTCAGTTCGTAATCAGCTTAAAGTTGGCGCTTGAAAGAGTTCTGAAAGCCAGCCTTTTATGTCATAAAATCCAACGCACTTTGAAAAAGAAAGTCAAAAAAGGAATCAACGAAAAAAGAAACTCCATTAAAAACTCAGAGCTGGACGACAGTGGCTGGCTACAGAAACTGCTTTTGACTTGAGGTCATTTTCAATCACTTTTTCCATTTTGTGTCACAGGGCAGCCAGAGAACAACACGCCAAAAAAAGACAGAGAGAGAAAGAGAGAAAGGGAGAGAGAGAGAGAGAGAGAGAGAGAGTAAAAAACGTAAAGTTTTTGAATGTCTGTGTGACTTTTTCACAGAGCTCTCACTGATAAGGGGCCGTGGTCAGCGGGCAGGAGCAGCAGGAGACAGAAGTTGAGAGAGCAAGTGCAGGTTGCGGTTTGGAGTGTGCGACCGTCGTTGGCTTTTTATTCATTTTTGCTTTTTTGTTTTTTTTTCCCCTGCAACATGCAGTTCATTTGCCGTGCAAGATGAGTGGGCGTTTGAGTGAATGGATGGATGGCTGGATGGATGCTCAGCTCTTATAATGGCCGCAGGAAATTAAGTTGAAATTGTGCCTAAGGGTCGGAGAGCAATCATCGTGTAGTTGCCAGCGCACCAGCAGACACTGCGTCAAATTAATTACATTCTGTTGGATTATGCGAAAGTGGGCATAGCTCTTTAGTTTAATGGAGTTTCAAGTGCAGTCATAGCAGAATGCAATAACAACAAAAACAAACTTCAATTGACAGT